TAAATGCTAGATGCAACTCTATAAACTTCTAGTCTAATAGTAGATAATTCTGTACACTACTAGTGCTATACCTACTAGACTTAATAAGCACTGTAACTTTATTACTCTTAATATTCTTTTATTTAGTAATAAGCCTTACTAGCTTTTATTAGTTTAAGTATAAAAAAAACACTAAAAATAAAAGTAAAACTAAAATATTATTTTTAAACACACTATAGACCTTTAGAAAGTACTAAAAAGTAGATGCCTAACATATCTTTTAAATATGCTGTAATATAAGGCTAGCTTTACTTTTTAGCATTAGCGCAGTTTTTTTAGCAGGCAGAGGTAAAGCGCTTTAATATAGCATAAGTGCTAGATTATAACTTATGTAATAAGCAACCTTTTCTAGAAAAAGTTACTGTGTTAATTATATAAATAAGTTATTTTAAAAATACTAAAGTAAGTGCTTATAATAACACTTAGAGTTAATTAGGTTTTACTACTTAGGCTTAATGCTAGCTTATTAGTTTAGCTATTTATTTATCTAATTAAAAGGTCTACCTTTATATCTATTATACTAAAATGTAACTACATAATTCTATAAATTAGCTAAAGTGCTTTTAACCCTCTCTTTTGCAGCCTCTAATTTAGGTTTATTATGTAGGGGTGTAGACCTAGGCAGAGGTGTTACAGCAGGAGTAACAGGCGTCTAACTACTACTAGCAGATGCCTAATCTAGCAACGTTATAGTTATTGTCTGCCTTAATATAAAAGGCTTTATCTTATAATAATTTTTTACTTTTATAAGTTACTTTTTTTTTATTTTTTACTTTACCTAGCTGCTAGCCTGTCTATTACTTGCATTTAAATTAGTGCTAAGATAGTTAAATGTATAAAAAAAAATAAATAATATAGCAACTATAGTCTTACTATAACTACACACACTATAACTAAACTACTATATTAGATTACTTATATCCTAAGTAATTAAAATGTTTTATTAGTATACCTGCTTAATTCTAGAGATATCTATACTTATTCTAAGCGCAGTTGTACAGATAACAATCTAGATAAAGGCATTAGCGCCTTTAAAATTTTAATATATCTCTTACTAGTCTGCGTCTGCAACCTAACTAGTATACGCCTAGACTACCTTCTTAGCATTTGCTATAGAGTAGTGTCTATCTAACACAAGACAAGATTAAAGGAGCTCTGTAAAGTTAGTAATATAGGTGCAACTATTAATAAACACACACGTCTTTAAAATAAGCTTTAGGTTGCTAGGAGAACTAGTAGTACTAAACTTATAATTAATAATATATAAGAGCTAAGTATATGTGCTTTTACTATAATTATTAATTAAAATAATAGCGTACGCAATCTTAGGGCAATCTACGCACATCCTAATTACCTCTAGGCTGCCTATTAGATTATTACCTATCCCTAGACCCTCTGGCCTAAAGCTACTAAAACAGCGTACTGCCTTTTCTGTCTGCTTGTTAAATGTAGCAGTACAAGTAAAAAACATTATGTTAAGAGATAAACACTACTAAAGCTTATAAAACTATAAATACTTTTTCTAGAAATTTTTTTACTATTATATAACATAGCACTTGTCTAATACTACTAACTTAACCTAAGTATAAAATATAGTGTTAGTAAATAGCTATTAGAACGCTAGTAATATAGCCTACTTTAGACCTAGTAAAATATAAGTGTATAGAAGCTACTAGATTTTTTAAAATATTTTTAAGTTAGCATTTTTTATTTATTTAGTAACTAGATATAAACGCGCTTTAGAATACTAGCAGATTACTTTAAACTACTTATTTTTTAGCTTTAATAGTAGTATAATCTAAAGCATAATGTTGCCTATAAATATAGAATATATATGTAAAATAATGCTTTTTTTAAAGCTAGTGTAGGCTACAAGGATTATATCCCTAAGGCTATATATAAGCTAATAGATAGCGCGCACCTGCTACTTATATAGCTCCTTACTGCCTAATAACTTCTGCATAGCCTAAGTAAGTAATAGCGTTTAATACTAGATATTACACTTTATAAAACACTTATATACTAAATCTTATAAAGTATTAGCACTTAAAGTATAATAAGCTTTAATATAAAAAAGCATTACACTAGCTAGTCTGTATACTTAATTTAGCGCTGCATAGTCCTTATTTAGCACTAAATAAGTAGTCTCTTCTAAGTAGACAGCTAGAAGACTTAGCGCAAGCTGTACTTGTGCTAGCCTCCTACCTAAACTCTAATTCCCTGCGCGCTAACCTAGCCCTCTAGTCTGCATAGTAGCTACTACAGCAAATAATTAGCAGTACACATTAAAAGGTGCGTAAATAAACACATAGATAATATATAAAAAAATATTTATAATATTTAGTGTCTAAACTGCTTACTGCGTAAGCGTTAGTACTATTTTGCTTACTGTAATAGAACTATACGCATAGGACAAAATTAGCAGATCTAGAAGCTAGAGGTAGTTTACAATAGTAAAAATAAATAGCGCCTAAAATATAAGTGCCTTGCAATACATAAGCATAGATAATAAGAGGGGGGGGGGGTTTAAAGTAACACATAAAATTAGTTGTAGAAAAGGTTATATTACGCGCGCAGATAGATTTAAATTACCCTAGACATTATTAGATCTTATTTAAAATATGCTTATAATGTTCTTACTAGAGTTTTGCACATTATATTAACTTTTAAAGTCTATGTATAATATACCTATTATACTATCTAAAATTACGTCTTTATTCTTAAGTAGTTAAAATTAGTTATGTACACAAAAAATCACTAAAGTCCTTTAGACAGCTAATAAGAGAAAACATTAGTTGCAGGGGTTTAAAACTACTAACCCTAGGTTATACTCTGTTAGGAGTAGCAGTATGCATGGTGGTATGTGCGTTGTCGGTTCTCTCATCAGCCGGCTGAGCTAGCTGAGATAAGTCTGGGTCAGCCCCACTCCGGGAACTAAATCAGGGCACTCCGGCACGTGCGCGGCACATCCTCAACAACGTTATCTCTTTTTGAAAATCTCAACGCCTCTCGCACAAGGTCAGTGCCGGTTCGGGTCGGCCGTCCTCCCTGCTAGCGGTGGCAAGATCATGTACCACCGAAGTACCTGTTACAGCTATATTCCGCTAATAAATAAGCTTCTAGAACATACCATTACGTTTCGGCAAAAGGGTAGCCAAAAGTACCGTATGCTCGAATGAGAGACCTATACCAAGATGCTTTCTAATTTTATAAGAAGATTAGACTAAGAAAATAGCATTCCTTTTTACCGGAGATGTTAACACAAAGCGACTATAATACTAAAACGCATGCTTATTACGCTATACTACGGTTACACTTAACTAAATATATCTTATTCTACAAAGGGAAAGTGAATTATGTCGAGCAGCAGCTGCGCATACCAGTCTGCGAGCATTTCTTGCGATACCAGCCGCGAACGATGGTCTTCTCGGAGTACCATCGCTTTTACGGCTACAGCAGCTCCACCGCCTTCTTCACCTGCCCATCTGCATAGTATGCTCGTGCGGGCTCGTGAAGCGACGCCAGTCGGGATCGGTGCTCTTCTGCGAGCAACTTCTCCTTCACTGCCACCACATGCTCCAGCAGCTCCCCCAGCTTCGGACTCAAGTCCCCAATCCTAGAATTATTGCCAATGGCACTACATGATCGTATCGGAGTCCGCTACCGACTCCGATAACCGTCATCGAAGACTACAGCTACTGCTCTGCGATTGTGAATCAATCCCGTCGGGTTGACAACCCCCTGTGACGGCGTACCCCGAGTCTTCAGAATTGAAAGATCAACATCATGGGCCTTTCAACCCTGGATCATAAACTATACGCAAACGGACACATGGGCGGACAGCATCACTTCTGGGACAGCGCTTGCTGGATACGAAAATGAACAGCCAGACTGCAGGATAGCTCCGAACTCCGTGCTGCTATGCGACAAAGTCAATTCAGCATACACATGGTGGCTGTCCTCACATGGATCACAAACCCCACCACCGGTCGAAGCATCGACGACCGCCACACCAACGGGATCTGTCATTGAGACATTGGCGGCGCCCGACTGCATACAATTCGTGCCGGTTCCAGCCCATGCGAAACCGACCTGTGCAAATGGAAATCGCTGACAAAGAGCTGTAGTACTGGCCACCCTTAGCACTGAGCGGGTCAGAATTCTACAATTCCAACTGGACTACTCCAAGTACAATGCCCACCATCCCCGGAAAGCCGAACACTGCCGTGGTGTCTGGCATGACCCTCACAAGCCCAACTGTCTACCACTTCATCAAGACCGTCAACGTGTATACGATAGCGGGAACGAATAGGAAGGCCGACGGTGGAGCCATTCGCCAGAGCGCTATCTGGCAATTATCTAGAACTCTCTCTACCGGCAAGGCCGTCCTTACCGACAAGCAATTGGAAACCGATATCTTAAGCGTTATATATGTCGGGCCGAAACATCCACACTGAGGGGCTACGTTTTCATGCAACAAAGATTTCCGCGTCAATGACATCTTCACCATGCGCTCTCAGCGCTATTCTTTGGCAGTCTTGAAAACAAAGGGATCTCGACTATCATTCAAAACGAGGTTACGCATCAATTCGCGCTCCCAATTACAGATATTATTACTCAAAACAAAAGCTTTCAGGGAATACAAGTAGACCAGGACGTATACGAGGGATGTTTATCCGAGCAATTCTCCGCTGGCTGTGATGAACATGGTTCCAACTTTCATGCGATCGTTACTGGGCCGGGTGGGCCAACGGCGCGGCCAACGCAGATCTCTACGGCTGCACTGTGCAAGCCATGATTAGTCACAAAAACTGATGGTTATTAGTTACCTGTGAACTCTCATTTTTAGTCACATGTGCGATAATCATGTGATCAGTCCGGTCGGTGTTACTTTTCGCCGAAAGTCCGCGCCTTGTTGTAGACTGAAGACTGAGGTGTCATACAACACCTTTCTCTGAGATTATACCTTCATCCCGCAGGCTACCACGCTTGATCCTGACGAGCTTTGAGATCCTCATTGGCAGTCAAGCCTTGTTAACACACCACCATCACACCACATCGCGCTAGACCATGACTACTCCACCTGTTTATCCGCGGCCTCAATTCTGGCCGCTCTCGAAAGAATTTATCACTGCCCTTCGTCATTCGGATACAAGCCGCTTCGAAGCTGCAGCCGTATTACTCGATCAGGGTGCCGACGTAAACGGGTTGTATGAAGCGTCGCGTCCTCGTCGCCCTATGGGTCCCAAGGTATCACGCGAACAAGTCACAGCACTATACGATGCCGCAAACCGAGCTGACTACGACGCTGTTCAATTCCTTCTCGACAAAGGCGCTGATGTCAGAGCAAGAAACCGCACCGGCATGTCTCTTGCCTTCGGACTCTTTCCATTTCGTAATGCCATTGACACTCTTTGCGGACTAGATGCGATGAGGACGAGTAAAGATCAGAAGATCGTGCTCTTGGCTGAGGAGAAATTTGGTCCAGAAACAGACGAAGATTTTATTAGGAGGCGCGATGCATTTGACACCCTTGACGGGTACTATCCATATAACTCCACGACACTGTTCAAGCCCAAGATCAAGAAAGTCATCCCCGGAGAACAGAAGAGAAGTGTAGCAAAAAAGCGGTCTCGACCTGCAGAAAAGAATGTTGGTGTTTTAACTGGCAAGCAGAAGCGTTATGGACTGCGAAAACGGGATCTAGATGTTTCATATGTCTGAAGGGGTCGACTCTGTTAGCTTTTGCACATGGCTTTTACGGAGTTCGAAAGGATCAAGCAATCAGGAAGTCTTGATTATATCCATTCATATGCGGACCAATTACCACAATCTAGAAAGATGTTCACCGAAGTGCACGCGCATCCCACATCAAAAGCTCTCGAAGATCTCTATCCTTTCCGCAAAACATAAACCGCCCACTTAGTCTCAGAACCGAGCAAGTGCAGCCTTGCTATAATTGAAAGAAGGATGGCCCACCTGGACCTAGCAAGCGGTTGCCGTTTGCGTCCAACCCCCCCGGGCTGTGGACGTCCATCCTCGACCAGAAGCATTCCCATCCTTACAGTCTAGCCGTTCAACTGAAAGTTGGGATCGTATTTGAACAGTGTGCGGCCGCTTGGTATACTCCAAGCCCGCGTGTGATCCTCGCCCTCCCGGGCCGGAAAGTAGAGATACTCAGGTTGCCAATTAACTTGACTTTGATGATTAGTCTGCATTGCCTGATCCACAGCGGCTCGGAATCTTCTAAGGCCGTTTGGATGCTGATGCTGGCCTTGGTTGACCACGTAAATCTCCACACCATTGACAATGTGAAGATTGTACTCTTCGGGGTGCACGATAAATGCGAGACCGTTTTGTAGCCGAGCTCCATGGTTGTTTAGACCCTCTTGAAACGCGGTATTGCGACGTCGTTCATTTGGAGGAGCTCATTCCATAAAAGGCTGCGGAAACCCATTCAAGATGAAATTTTCTATGTATGCTTTAGGTAGCGCAGTCATCAGGATCGGCCGTTTTCTACGGCGTTAACAAAACCCGGTGTCCTGTAACCAAGTTAGCACTCATAATTATACTAGAAAGAACATCAACTTCCATACGTAGGCCATGTATACTCCGCCTGTTGGGTTCGCTAGGTAGGCGTTTTTACTATGACTATCATACTGCAGCCTACTAGCCCTATTGATCCCTAAGCAAAAGAAGCAAGCTGGTTATTAGCGTCCAGCTGCTGGAAAAGTGAGGTAGGTATTGCGTATGGTTGATACTCGACGTAGTTCTGGTTTGGTGTTCGTTTGCGGAGTTTAATGTCGACGTATTGATTGGGATCATCCTCGTCCCATATCATGTCCACGTTGGGGGAAAGCCATGCACGGTCGGGTCGGGCATCCTGTTCATAATCCACGTCCCAAGCTGAGTTTGAGCCATGCGACGGAGATCATTCAGGCCTCCAAAAGCTGGAAGTGGAGCACGCTTCTCTTACTTAGCTTAAGTATTCTTGTGTGTACCTTTTAGTGTAGTAGAGAAAGTTGTATAGTATTAATTTAGCAGGCATGGCGCCTATCTTATTGCAGTTTTAGTGCCGCGGCCGCTAATTCTAGATAAGTGCTCTAGAGGCTTTAGCAGCGCGTTTAGTGCTTCTAGCATAGCGTTAGAAGCTTATAATAACAAGTAAGAAGCGTAAACAATAGACATTAAGGCACTCTTATAATAATAATACTAGTAGGTTAACGTGCTAAAACGTATAGTAAAACAATAACATGTTTAACAAGCAAGCTAGACATACAAGCAAGCTAGACAGCTCTACTACACGTTGTGTAGCAACACCTTTTAATTCTTATAGTTTAACAATACCTAATTTTAACTAACTTAAACTTAAAGATAGACTTTTTTAAAAGATTTTAACTTTAATATAACGTACCTAACAGGTTGGCCGGCCACACAGGTTAGCCAGCCACTTTTGCCAAGCCCCTACTAAACTCTACCTATCTACATAATGCCTTAACAACAACACTAGATTAAATCTTCTAAAAAATGTTAGATACAGCTTGCTCTTTAGGCTCTTAAATAAGACTTAAAACTCTTCTTATAACACGCTACAGCTATCTATAATGTCTCTTACACAACACTAAGCAATTAACGCGCTAGACAGCCTTTATAAGCAGAATGCTAGCCTAAATTAAGGAATCTAACTAAGCTTAAAAAAAAAGTAGTTGTTAAGTACATACTTAGGCTTATTACACGCAGATTTCCTCTTAGGCTTATAGCTGTAGCTAATATAGCTAATTCCTTGCCTGTGATGACAAGCACTGTCTCTACTACCGTATAGAGCTGGGGAAGCAAGGCAGAGTAGGTCGGCTCTATTTCAGCTACACTAAGATAGGGAGGAGAAAGGGAGCTTTAAGGGCAGCTCTATAGAAGAAGTGCTCACAGCGCTAAGGCGCTAGTAAGAACGCTAGCGCTAAGCAAACTAATAGCGTTGCGCTAGTTACACCCCCTATATCCTAATTAGCTGCACAGGCAGCTTATTATGTGACGCGCAACAGAGCTCTCTGCGTAGGACTGTTACATTACCCCCTTCTAAGGCAGTCTTATCTTTAAGACTAGGTAGTTTAGCGCTTTTATGTTAGTTTTTAAACTAGTTAAGACCTTAGTGTAAGTTAATTATTAACTTTTATAAGTTTTATATCTTTACTTTTTTTATACACTTATAACTAGGTGTCTAGTTGCGCTAGTAGACTAGGCTTAGTAAAATATGCTTAGTAGAAGTCTCTTACCTTATGCAGAGCTCTAAAAAATCTGTTAGCATTATACTAAGTAAAGTTAGAATTATAGCCTACCTATAAGGCTTAGTATTAGAAACGCCTGCAGTAGACGCAACTATTTAGAATATTCTAAACCTGCTACTTAGAGTAACTATTAACTTTAATTAGCTTCTCTAGAGGCTTAACTTAACCTAGCAGCATTATAGGTGCTGCCTACTGTAGGTAGTCTACATAGAAGATGTTATGCATTCTTATATATAGGGGGAGCTTAAGCTAGTACAAATAACCTTTTATGCCTATAATTAGATAAGGCCTATACATCTGCTAGTTAAGCTTCTAGCTAGGGCGCCCTATAGTAAAGCTTTTAAAAGTTATGTATACTTTATTACTTACTATAAAGTTAGGCTTACACTACTTTTTATTTACTTAAGCTGCTTACTACTTTTAGGCTTAAGTAATGCTTTTTTTTATAATCTTAATTACTTATTATATAGTGTTATAGTAAAGCTTAGCATAGCTTTAAGCCTTTTTATATAAAATCTGCTCTAGCGCAGTTAGTAAGTGTTTTATACGTGCCTTTTAGTCTTAGTAGTGTGTTAGATAATAGCTAAACTTAATTTTAAATAGTAATAACTTTATTATCTTATATAGTAAAGATGCTTAAGCCTAGTCTATATAAGGCAGCAGGTCTAACTAGTTGTCTTAAAAGTAATTAATAAATAGACATAGTTGCTAGTTAATATACTAATTTAGCACTTTTATGTTGCTGTTAGTTTAAAGGTAGTAGGGCATAAAAAGCTTTTATTTAACACTAGTAAAGCAGTAAAGCTTATTTATAAATATAAAAGTAAACTATAGTTTATAGTTAAAGATAATTAATTAAAGGGGTTTATAAACACACTAGATATAGTAATAGTATAGGTCTGCAGCCCCTACAGCAGTAATAGTCTTATAGCATAGTAGTAAGAAGTAGCGCTTGCTTAAACAGTCTACTATAATAAACATGTTATTATAGCTAGCTTAATTAAGTAGGAATAACTTAAAATTTATAAAAATATTTTACTATACTTACTTAAGTATTAGTAGTAGCTTAAGAAGCTCTAAAGTCTTATTTTAAAAAATATAGCTCTACTAATAGGCCTTATAAGTGCTAATATAAGTCTTAATGTTCTAGCTTATGCTTAGTTAGTAGTACTACTTGCGTAGCAGCTTAGTTATTTTTCTAGTTCTAGAATGTGCAGTAAGTTATATTATATAAATAGTGTAAATAAAGTAGGTTTTTAAGAACTAGATAGCTAGAACTATAAGCTTCTCTTTTTTTAGTAGTAGGCTTTTAGCGTTAAGCTTTTATTATAAGCTAAGATCTTATACTTTATTATAGTAGTATTATAAGCTTTTATAATTCTAATTAGTATCTAAGATTTAATTAATAAGCTTATATAGTTAATTTATTAGTAGCAGCTTTATAAACTTTTTATTTAGTAAAAAAGTGCTTTATAAAGTAGCATGTAATTAAGTAATAAAACTAACACTAATCTACTTTTAGCTTAAAAAAAAGTGTGTATAAGCAGCTTTATTTTTTTTTTATGTCTTAAGCTTCTTTTACTTCCTTAATAGCATATCTATAATAACATTAGCAGTGCCTAGGCAGTAGGTTAGTGTAAGGTTAAAGTCTACTATTAGTATAGCTTATTATATCTAGTAAAGAGTAAGCTTATGTTTAATAGCAAAGTACTTAAAAGCTTAGTAGTTAGTAATTACTATAAATAGTTTATCTTATTATAAGCTTATTAGCTGCGCTTATTACTTTTATAGGCTTTAAATAACTATAAGCATTTTTTTATTATATATATTATAGTTTATCTGCAGCAGGCTTATAGTCTTAGAGTAGAACGCTATAAAGCGCTAGATGCTATTGTCTTGCAGCTGTAATAGTACTTTTATAACAACTCTATTACTTATATTAGTCTTTATATGTGTCTTATAATTTAGTAAGTAGTGTGTAAAAATGTTATCTAATAGTATAAAGTTTTTAGCGCGCTTAAATATAGCTAACTTATGCTTTTTTTAAAAATGCTAGGCGCTATGCTTAAGTAGCTTTATAAGCAGCTATATAATGTAACTATAGTTTTTAAGAAAGGCGTAGTAGAAGTTATAAAACTCTAGAAATAACTATAGGCTTTTAATTAAAGTTAGTATAGGCTAGTCTTAGACAGTAGCTACCTTAGTAAAGTCCTTATAAATTTTATCTATGCTAATAATAAAACTTAAAAATTTTATTTTAGTAACTATAAATTTACTCTTTTTAAGGTTAATCTATAGGCTAGTATTTTATAGACAACATAAGACCTTAGTAATATATGCCTTATGCTATAAAAAGTTGTCTAAGTAGATTAAAATATTATTAAGGTAAGCTATATAAAAGTTATTAAGTAAGCTATATAAAACTTAATTAATATATTACTAAAAAGTTATAAAGCTATTATAAAGTCTAAAAAGCAGCATATAATACTTATAGTTACTATAGTATGTTTAAAAAGTAGTTAGGTCCTTAACTTTTTTAGTAAGC